AATTTTATCATTATCAACATTTTGCCTGGTCCGTGGGATCCACCGTATAATTCTTAGAAAATTGTGCACCATATTTATTCATGTTTCGATATTTTTCTTCCCAATATCAAAATGTTTTTGAACTCGTGACTCTTTCTGGGCGTTGTTCAGTGAACCAGTGAACCGTTTACATAACGCGAGGTACACAACTGTAAACTAACACCAACAGGGTGCGTAACCTTGTTTACAGAATGTTGCATGTTACTTCTGCTTCCTTACCTGTCCGTATCGTACCCCTCAAATCCTATTGTACCGTGAAAATCCTATTGAACTCCGAGTTCGCATAAACAACCACTGCGTAGTCAGGGTCAGCAAGTCAACTTTTGCGTCTTTCTGACATATCACTAGGGCGTTAAGCTTTTATAAATCTACGATATATATCCCTGGAGGTTTCTCTTTAGTTAAGTCACGCTCCATTATTATCTTTCATGATGTTAACTTATTATTCATTAAAGACCATGCTACAATCTAGCCTTGGATTACGTCTGGATTAACTCATGCCTTTGCGCAATAAGCAAGTCACAATTTTAAAAGTCCGCATCTGTCTAGGCCTTGCACGCTGTATTTTTGGAATCAGTACCCAGTGGCTACCCAGGTACAGCATTACATTGAAAAGATTACCATCGTTGGTGAAATTAATAACGGACAAAGTATTCAAAGCGGAAAATGCGCACCAGTCGTTTACGAAGGCAGAAATAAAATGTGGCCTACTTTAAATGGTCAAGCGAACCTGTCTCCCCCCGAAAATTTAACCCATTGATAATTTGGTCTAATATTGTTTAAAAGATAGAAGTAGATAAATGTTAGCCATTCTGTTTTACGATTGAAATTTGACCTACTTGATGTCCGAACCGACTTGAATTTCCAACAGCGGTTTTCAGACTTTAATCATCTTGACCTTTACATGTACAGTACTTCCATCGACAGGTATAAATGCTCTGCAGTTTCCGCACAGTTGATTCTCAAATTATGTCATAAAAGCAAGGCCGCATTTTTATTCAGCTCAAATATCTCTCCCTCAAGAAAAATAGCTACTTCAAACTTGCTTCATTCAATGGCATGTATGGATTATATAACTGGACACTGAAATGACAATTATGACCAATGCTTCAGTACGCTGCATGGAATTTAGTAAGAATCTTACTAGAGCTTAGAGCAGGCTTTGGGAGGGATAAGAGGTCGGATTACAAGTGGTTGCGAACATTCTGCCATTGCTGTTATTAACATTGGTAGCACCTTGTTTGAAACGGAGGGTTGAGCCACCACTAAGCTCTAATTCGAGAAATAAATAATTCATCACAGATCACAATGACTTCCATCTAACACGAATAGCAACTTTGCACGCTAGCTGTTTATTGGATACACGTTCAATAAAAAAGATAAATATGGTCACAATCAAGTTTTGACAAAACAATTTGAATGTATGCAAAAGATTAAGTATCTTTTCTTTTCGAAAAAAAGTGTCCAGGGGGAAAGGCTCACTGTATATTGATATCGGCTCGATTATGAAAACTTCACAAATATATCCACTGGCGGATCCAGAAATTTAATGTTGGGGGGGGGGGGTATACAAGGATGAAAATCCACCACTCACGCGCATCTTACATAGGTTGGATAAAAACGCGCAGTATTTCCAATTTCATTTTCCAAAGAACTATCCATCATAATTTTAGAAATTCACCCAATGTGATAATGCAACATCTTAATCTTTTCAATACAAAACATGGCAGATTAATTTGCAGTATTTGATGCCGTCTTCAGAATGGTGGCCTGTCTCCAGTCTGCAAAACCAAAATCAACGAACATCGACGTATTACTAAGGTTATTTCACAAATTCTTGGAAACCTCATAACAACACAGTAAATCAAATTAACATTTCAATCTGCAACATAAGACAGATAAACTTCGAGCATATAAAGAATACAAAAGAATCAGTAAGACAATTACATGTCTAGTAAGTTGAATATTTCGTGACATAACAATCACAACATCTAATTTAATTACTCAGTCTGACCTTGTAGAACCATGCGAAATTTAGTTAATGACTCTTATCAACTGGATTTAATGGCATTGAGGCAAGGATGCGCAGGTCCCGAACATTCTAATATCGGTACACCATAATTAAAATTAACTGAACTTGTGGGCAACATCTTGCTTACATGTCGTTAACTCTTGAGCCCATTATACAGGCGCCAAAATAAGCTTTTTCGACATTCAGATAAAACAAAACGAAAAAAATTAGAAGCAACTGTAAAACAGCATATAACAGTGAATAATCAGTTAATAAAAAGTTCCAATGGACAAACAACATAAAATGGATGCCTGTTTGACAAGCTGGTTTCAAGAATACATTTATACATAGGCTAAGGCTAGGACTACAAAGTTAAATTTACCCTGCGTAGATCTGTGTAGTAATATCTTGTAGTGGTGTATGACATACCTTGGCAGGGATGCAAGTATAACATAGTAGAACTATCGCACCTCACGGACCCTTTCTTTCAGATTACTGATCACAGAAAAATCCAAATACTCTCTACATTGCGTATCCGTCTCTTATTAAATAGATGATAAGAGTCATTCTGGCTCATTTATTGAGGTTTGCTTTTTTTTATAACGGTTTCAATTCGAGTAAATATATTTGAAACATTTAATAGAAACAATTACAACGTTAAACTACAAAAAGTTCGTTGCTGTTTCAGGAAGAGGCAATTATAAACAATTATCCGAGCAACAACAGGTTCTCCGGTCATTTCTTAGGTCCAGTCAGGCTGAATACAACTAGAGTATCCTTATAGGTGCTTGGTTGAAATATTTTTCAAAAGACAGGGTTATCCTGTAATATTAATTTCGTAATTATAAGATTGCATTCACTTTTACATTTATCATTAATTCATGAAAGAAAGATTTATCAGAGATGTAGGTACTAAATTTTTATGGTAGATAGAAAATACTGTCATAATGTCTAAGGTTGGGGATTCTCTGTAATGTAACAAAATGGCTAGTTTTTTTGTCAGAGCTCGCAGTCCTTGTGGTAGATAGAGACTTTCCACACTGCACTAACTCTATGTTTGACGTTGATGAAAATTCAACTGGTAGGTTACATTGTTGAAAACTATTGGTGGACAGAAATCTTGGTTTTGACTGAGTAGAGTGTGAAAGCTGACATGTTGGTTTTGGTTGAGGATTGCCATTGTATTGTGTCCTCTTGCGGAGTGCTGGTGAGTGTTGCTGGTGCTTCTGTGGCAAGTTGACACGTGATGAAGCAGATCTGATAGGAAATAGATTGCTGACTGTTTTGTTCATATTATTTTTTCTTTTTGTAACTGGAACGTCTGTAAAATAAACATAAATGAAATGAGTACGATCGGCATGAAGTATACTTACAACGATAAAAAATAAAAACAAAACGCCTCATAAACTTAGCAGTTCATATTTCTTGCTCGCATAAACAGCAGACATATCGAGTTTCATCCGTAACCAGTGTCACATTTGGTCAAAGTGATTAACTTACCCATTTGACAGTTGTTATTGCTGTTCTGTTTCTTATTGCCAATGCTTGTCTTCTTCACCACCAGATGAAGTTTGTCCTTAGACTTTTCCATAATTTTTCTAGCTCCATTAACTAATGATTCTGTCGCAGTTTTGTTGATCTAACATTAAAGAAAATAGCTTTGAAAATGCAAAAGCACTCGCTTACAGTGTTAACGTGGAGCATATGTTATCTTTATAAATATGGTCTTTTATGACTTACAAAAACTCTAAATTTGGCAACTTTTACAGTTTTCGTATACACCTACCCTGATAACTGTCTTTCCTTCTTTATTTCCACAATCACGAGCTACCCATCTGTTACAAATTGTTTCCTTGATGTAGAATCTGCTGCCCAGAACAATATTATAATCTGAAATGAAAATATATAATTACGTCACTGTAGCCACTAGTCATGGGCGGATCCTGGGGAAATTATTCATATTTGCTTTATCAAAAAGAAAAAATAATTGCACTGAGATCCCACACAATCTTAAATATAACAATAATTCAGGAATGCCTGTGT